AGATGTTTATCAAGACAATACGTGCACCACTGTATTGTACTGTATTGTACTGATAAACCCTTATCAGTAGTTCTGCTTTTGTCCTTTGCCTTGTGATCTTTGTTGGACCCTTATCAGTAGTTCTGCATTTGCCCTTTGTCCTGTTCCCTCAGAAGCATGTGATCCTTTTTAGACCCTTATTAGTAATTCTGCTTTTTGCCCTTTGAAGCATGTGATCTTTGTACCTACTGTATGTTCTTACATCCCCTCCCCTTTTTAAAACCCTTAATAAAAACTTGGTGGTTTGAGGCTCAGGCAGGCATCATGGTCCTACCGATATGTGATGTCACCCCCAGTGGCCCAGCTGTAAAATTCCTCTCTTTGTACTGTCTCTTGTTATTTCTCAGCTGTCTGACACTTATGGAAAATAGAAAGAACCTACATTGAAATATTGGGGGTAGGTTCCCCCAGTATTCCCCTTTGCCTTCTACCATGATCGTAAGTTTCCTAAGGCCTCCCCAGCCATGCTTCCTGTATAACCTGTGGAACTGTAAGTAAATTAAACCTCTTTTCTTCTAATTGCATAGTCTCAGGTATGTCTTTATAGCAGTATGAGAATGGACTAATATGGTATTCTTTACTAAATTAAAAGAACTCATATTCTTTGCTTGTGCCTACTGACATCATTCATCATAATAGTCCTGTGACAACCATCCAATCCGTTATTAGAAAAAAATCTCAAAAATTGATGGCATTGTGTGTTGTGAAATATTTGGAGACATGGTACTTCTCTATAATGTTGGTGAGATTGTAAATTGGATCAGGCTTTTTTTCTTCTTTTTAATTTTGTTTGAAGGCAGTGTGGCAGTTATCTATCAAAATTTCAAAAACATGAATACTCTTCGACCCAGCAGTTTCTTAGGTGTCTATCCTATAGAAAACATTCTCACATTACACAAAGACAGGTACAAACTTCAACACTGGGTTTGTTAAGGCATATCTGGAAGAATTTCCATGATCATTAACAGAGCAAATGTTAAACATATTCTGGTAGATTCACACTTCGGAATATGAGACAGATTTTAAAAGGATGAAATAGATCTACATAGACTAAAATAAGAAGATAACGAAGACATAGCAAAGTAAAAGAGCAAGCTACAGTATGAGAAAATATGATCATGTGTGTGTAATTCATGCATATATATAAAGTCATGAAAATATTTGGAAATATATAAGCAAAATTTTAACAATGATTTCCTTTGAGGGGGCATTGGTATGAACTTGGGTGTGAGGGCTTTGAAACTAGTCTTTTATTTTTACTTATAATTTTAAAATTGTATCATAAAATGTATTTAAAATGAAATAATTTTAAAATGACCAAATGAAAGAAAGAAACCCCTGATTATTCCCATTCTTTTGATGACTCTATAATTGCATATTCTCCCTAAATCAATGAATCATCAAAAGATTGAATCCAGTTGGTCTTACTCCAAGGCTAAGCATTATTATTCCAATTTTTCAGACAAAGTGTTATGAATTAACTTTTTAAATAACCCACAGCTACTTAGTAGCAAAATCAGAATTGGAAGAGTCATTGCTCAGTTCATTCATAGCCTATCTAGTTACAGCATAGCTGGGAAGGGGCAGAAGCAGGTTTCTGGATACTTTTCTGAACCACTCTCTTGGAAGTGTAGTCCCCCATTCTTCATTTTGTAGCCATGTCCTTCACCATACACATTTGTACTTTCTCTCACAAAAGGCAAGTGCATTGCTCTGCCTCTTGACTTTGAACTTGGCCATGTGATTTGATTTGGCCAATGGGATGTCAGTAAACATTATATAATCAGGGGCTTAAAATGTGCTTTTTCAATGGGGTTTGTCCCCTAGAGCTTCTGTCATCTTCAGAAGCAGAGTTTTCCTCATGCAACTGATGTCCCTGGGCTCCAGAATAAACACAAGTGGAACACAGGCACTCCAAGTAACCAACAGAGATGCTGCCTGAAGAAGAGTCCCTTCAGCTGAACTGCAGATCCATGAGCTAATGGTTATTCTTTTATGCTCCTGAGTTTCATACTTTTCTTGAAAGTTTAATAAATGGTCTTTTCGTTAGTCAGGGTTCAACCAGAGAAGCAGAACTACTGATTACACACATGCACACAAACAAATACAGGTTCATCACACAAACTTATACCTATATATAAAATTCCTGTTACTGGCTTTTGGCCTTTTGCAATTATGAGAGCTGGTTAAGTGTGTCTGTAAGTCCATTGTCTCTGCATCAAATGCTAGATGGAGCTCAAAGCTCAAAGGGCTGGAAGTCAGAAAGGTAAGATAGATGTAAAGCTTGGAGGTTGAGGGCAGACTCAATCCACAAGCATCAGCTGAAACCCCATGAGGATGGACTGAAACTTGTTGCTTCTGGCCTTGGTGATATAGGTATTCTACAGACACCATACATATCACTTGTCATAGAGTTAAACATAGCACCTGACCCAGCAGTGGTAGAAGCTGAAGGAGGACCCAGGGGAAAATAGAGCAGTTGCAAGCCCAGCTGCTACTTCAAGTCAATTAGGTGAGCCAGCTTGTCAGTAATAACATATGTGAGGTATTAAATGGCTACTGGTCCACCCTCCAGAACTTTGCAGGGCTCTTCCTTATGGTGCAGCCTAATCAGAAACATAAAAAAGGGAATTCTGGGAAATGTAGTTCAGCCTACCTACGTAGACCCATTATAAAGTCATTATAGCTTCTGATATTCCAATTTAACAGGTAAAGAAATAATGTCCCCAGAGAGCGTGTGGGACCTGATCAATATCTCATAGCTGGTAACTGGTAGAATTGGAACTTGAATCAACCTGTCTGATTTCTGGCCCCTGTGTGATCCCCATTCTACATATTGTAAGTAAATCTTTCATGTCATTTTTTACATATGATGACAGCTTCTCCTGAAGCTGGAGAGATTCATCATGAGTGGGAGCAGGGAAGGCTCATTGAGAGGCATGAGGCATTTAGAGGAAGGTCAACCTAGGTGGAGTCCAGGAAAGCAGGTGTCATGGGACAGCCTGAGATCAGGAGGTCCTTGAGAAAAGAGTCATATATATGGAGAATACACCCCCAGGGTTTGTTCCTGTGTTTCATTATTGTGCGTTGTTTTATTTATTTTGGCTGATAAACATTATGAAACAGGCAGGCAGGTGGAATGCAACAGACTGAAACAATCAAGCAGACATTGGGGCAAGACCTGAAAACCTCCCCAGGAGTGGGGAAGCACTACAGAGGAAGGACAAGAGAAGACAATCTGAAGCAGCAGGAAAGATATATCGTGCAGTAGAGCGTTGGGCAGTCTACCGCTAGCCCATGCTATGCTTTAACAAGGGCTCCCCGCGAGTGTGGCTTGGGGAGTCTATGGCAATTTCTTGAGAGCCAGATAGATGGACAGGACAAGAGTTAGAAAGTGACAGCACTCTGGCCACAGCATGAAGGTTCAGGAATAGAAATCTCATCAGCAAGTGAAGAGACAGGGAGAAAGAACTGGTACCGATGCTTCTGATGTCCTGAGGGGATGCTTACAACTGCAGGGCAGACTGTATCCTCCAAGAGGATGTGGATATCTTAAGTATTCTGGTTACCATAACAACACTAGCCTGGTACCCTGCATGACAGATGACAGTAGTCATTTAAAAAGCACCTATGGGCCAGGCACAGTGGCTCACGTCTGTAATCCCAGCACTTTGGGAGGTTGAGGCGGCCAGATCACCTGAGGTCAGGAGTTCAAAACCAGCCTGGCCAACATGGTGAAACCCCATCTCTACTAAACATACAAAAATTAGCAGGGCATGGTGGCGGGCGCCTGTGATCCCAGCTACTCAGGAGCCTGAGAGAGGAGAATCACTTGAACCCGAGAGGCAGAGATTGCAGTGAGCTGAGATCGGGGGTCACTACACTCCAGCCTGGGTGACAGAGTGAGCCTCCGTCTCAAAAAATATACATTAATTAATTAAAAAGAAAAGAAAGAAAAAGCACCTATGAATGACTGAATGCATATCACAGGCTTTGGTGAAAACGAGCTTCAGATTCAAAATCTCATCTCCATCATTAATTTGTCATAAAAACTTGGCACTTTATGTAATCTGCCTTGGCCTCAGTTTCTTTATCAATAATATGGGAATAATAATATCATTTACCTTACAGGTAAAAGACAAAAATATAAATGATAGAAGCTATATACAAGATCTGGTTTATAAAAAATTAGGGTCCCAGGAGTGTTAGTTTTCTGTTATTCTGGTTCGAATCTCAAGTCAGGGTCAGGAATATAATCAAGCGATACAGTTATTAAAACTAGGGTCTCGAGCACGGGTCTGGCTGCATGAAAAGCACTAGGGAAAAAGGTGAAAGAAGAACCAGTGAGAGCATCAAGTTGCCCTTGACATTCCTGAAGGTTAATCAATGACTCATATAAATTCTCCATCAACTCACCCCTAGGACGGGCTGGCCCTATAGAGGAGGTTTTGGAGTAGGCAGATCTGTGCCAGTTGCACGCTCCAGAGCTGTCTGTCTCTGAGAGCCAAGGCCCGAGGGGAGGCAGTGGCAGGATGAGTGCTGGATGATGCAGTGGGGCTCTGAGCAGAGAGCAGCTAAAAGACTGCCCAGTGATTTACAGCCTTTAAATGGCTCTACCCTTCTGCAAAACTCTTAATTTAATAGACAAACATCTTGGACTAAGGGCTCACTAGAGGCAGAACTGATGGGATAAATGTTGGAAGATTAAAGACCTACAGAGGGGAGTGCATAACTCAATTATGAAAATGGTAAAGAACTTTTCCAGCAGGAAGCTTCCCCACTCCCTATCCAAGTGGCAACCTTGAGAAAAGCCACCAACAAAGAATCTAAGATATTGACCGTTTCAGGAAAACAGCCACCACCCTTGAAAGAGACCTTAATTGCTGCATTGTCTAGCATTTTTTACCCACATGTTATGCAGATGGGAAACTGAGTTGGAAGAAAGCGGGGTGTCTCAAGTCCTTCTTGATCCTGAAGTGGATTAGGTGCCGCTGTTGCTGCTCTTGTTGAATCTAGAACTGTAGCCAGACATGGGACTGGAGGACGAGCGAAAGATGCTTCCGGAGTCCGGAGATCCTGAGGAGGAGGAAGAGGAAGAGGAGGAATTAGTGGATCCCCTAACAACAGTGAGAGAGCAATGCGAGCAGTTGGAGAAATGTGTAAAGGCCCGGGAGCGGCTAGAGCTCTGTGATGAGCATGTATCCTCTCGATCACATACAGAAGAGGATTGCACGGAGGAGCTCTTAGACTTCTTGTATGCAAGGGACCATTGCATGGCCCACAAACTCTTTAACAACTTGAAATAAGTGTGTGGACTTATTCACCCCAGCCTTCATCTTCTGGGCATCAGAATATTTCCTTATGGTTTTGGATTTACCATTTGTTTCTTATTTGTGTAACTGTAAGTTCACATGAACCTCATGGATTTTGGCTTAGGCTGGTAGCTTCTATGTAATTCGCAGTGATTCCATCTTAATAAAATTCTGTGTTCTGTGATCTGCAAAAAAAAAAAAAAAAAAAAGTGGGGTGTCTCAATAACGTGTGTCATTAGCAAAGTTAGTGCTAAGATTTTGGTGTCTAGGCTTCCCATTGATTCACAGTAGACAGTAAACTATTGGTTCTGACTCGCACACTCTTGTACCCTCAGTAAATAGCAAAGTGCTGGACACATAGGGGGTCCTCCATTAATATTCGGTGAATAAATGATGTGTCTGCAGGGCTTTCAGGACTATCCTCCTGGAAACCTACCATCTTCTTCTGCAAGGTGCCTGAGGTTATTGATTGCCTGGCAATTGAATGTTTAGATTCTCATTGCTTCAATGCTTGCTTTCCATTCCTCACATCCCATTGCTTCTTTATTTCTCCCAATTCCAGCATTCTTTCTGTGACACAGACATTAGATTGACCTGAACATTGAAGTAAGAGAATCAAAGGAGACGTGGGTTGACTCAGATAAGGTAGTGAGGTGAAAGATCATGAGCGAATCACTTAAGTTGGCTAAGAGTTTAATGGATGTGGGGTTGGGGGATGACCAAGGCTATGCACTTGATGTTGTCAACCTAATTTTTCAATCTAAACATTAGTGTGTGGACTACAGATAAAATGCCAGAACTGGCTGGCATGAGAAAACAAAAATGCTAAGGGGAACTAGATATCTTACACAAATGGAAAACCCAGACTAGGCTCTTTGGAGAGGGATCTGAGGGCTCTAGACCTGCCTTCACAGGGGTTTCTTTATTGGTCTTTAGGGAATTGTACTTTGAGTCTTGATCTGACAGTACTTTCTCTTGTAGTAACTATCGATTAACTGTAGCCAGTGTTTCAAACTATGTAAGAGTACCTACAGACACTTGTGTACAGTCGCAGTAGTGATATAACAAAGCTTAAGTCCTACATCTGATCTTTCCTGTGTACATGACCTAGAGCAATTTATGTAACCTTTTAAGTTTCAGTTTTATCTTTTATATAGTGCACATGACCATAGTATCAACTTTAATGGGTTTTGGGGAGACTTTATTTTTAATTTTAATTTTTTCTTTATTTTGTTATTTTTTTCCTCAGCATTCTTGCAGGTTTTGGGGAGACTTTAATGAGACTTAGCATAATGCCTGGCCCACAGTGGATGTTCTCTGGGGAGTTAGTTCATATCTCTCTCTCTCTCTCTCTCTCTCTCTCTCTCTCTGAGTGTGTGTGTGTGTGTGTGTGTGTTTTGAGGGGATGGATGCTTTATTTCTGTGTGCTGCTTCCTCATGCTCATCGAAACATCCTCAGAAGGCCATCAGTATCAGCCATCACCCTGCTCCTGTCTTCAGGGAAAGTATTTTATGTACCTTCTCAGTTTTAGAGTGCTTAGTCTCATTTTGAATACAGCTACACCTTCTGGTTTTTGACTTCCATTCAGAATTTAATTTACCTTTACAACTTTGTGTTCCTTTTCATCAACTTTTATATGGAGGATACTCTTATTTTTTCTCTGTGTAGTTTCCTTGATATTTTTTCTAAATTAGGTTTGGTAAACCTCTTTCTTGGTTTTGTTCACCTGAGAGGCATTTGTTGAACACTGGTTACATGCTAGATGTGATATCTTTTGTATGCTTCATAGTACCAAGTCTTCATACACTGTAGTGATTTTTGAAGATTAAAAAAGAAGTAACAGGCCAGGTGCGGTGGCTCACACCTATAATCCCAGCACTTTGGGAGGCTGAGGCAGGTGGATGACGAGGTCAGGAGATCAAGACCATCCTGGCCAACATGGTGAAGCTCCATCTCTACTAAAAGTATGAAAATTAGCCAGACATGGTGGCACATGCCTGTTATCCCAGCTACTTGGGAGGCTGAAGTAGCAGAATCACTTGAACCAGGGAGTCAGAGGTTGCAATGAGCCGAGATACCACCACTGCACTCCAGCCTGGCAATAGAGCGAGATTCCCTCTCAAAAAATAAAAAATAAAAAAGGTAACAAAGATAACATAATTGCCCAGGGTGCAGTTACATTGTATATAAACTTCATTTGCAACCATAATTTGCAACATGCTAACTAACAGTAGGAGTACATGGAAGGTTTATTAATTGAATGTTCTATGGCATGAAGTTCAGAAAAACAGCCAGTACACTGAATAATAATCAGGATTCAACAACTTTTTGACTAATAAGAACACTGGATCAAATCTAAAAAGATAAAATTGAATAGGACAAATATCAAGTATTCACTTGGATTTAAACTCCAACTCTATAAATAAGAGATGAGGAAAATATGGTTTGGAGAGAAGATAGGTTTAAAGTCTGAGGTTGTATTTCTATTTAAGTATGGCAGTGGCATGAGTCAACAATGAGCGCTGACTGGAACAAAAAGTGCTAATGCTATTACAGGCTGAACTAAGAGTTGTTTCATGCTCGATGGGGGAAAAATGATAACCCTACTCTAGTTAACCATGGTCCAACCACATCTGCAATTTGTGGTTCAATCACAATATAAACTTGATGGTGACAAACCACCATGAGGCTAGAAGAAAAGGAAGAGCAAATCAGAAACAAAGAATGGTTGGGGAACCTTCTTAATCTTAGCCTGGAGAAAGAAAATGTTGGGAAAAGTATCTTGGTAGTGATCTGCAAACATCCAAACACTTGTAGAGGAGAACAGTGAATGTTAGAATAGTACAGTAGGTGGAAATTGCAGGAAGATATAGATTAGCTCAGGATCACTTCCTAAAAATTAAAGCTGCCTCCTCAAGAAATTAGCTGACATGTAGGTTCCCTCACTTCTTTGAGCACTCACACGTGGGATAACCATCAGAACCATCAGGTGGCACTGTTATAGAGGGAGTTGGAACTGCATTGTATCAAGTCGAAGATCATAACTTACACATTTTATATGCACAATAAATGTTTGTTGAATAAAGAATTAGTCAGATAGAATTGCTTCCTTGAGTAACAAACGTGATTAACCAAAAAACAAATTTTCACTACATGGAGAAGTAAATTTTGAGAAGCTTGATTAAAATTCTAAAATTGGAAAAGGTATAAAGACTTAAAAAAGGAAGGTGCTCACCAAAGTTGAAGGTATGAAATAGACCATAAAGTTTAAAAGAAATAATACTAATTACTGACTTACATAGAGGATCTCAGAGTTTACAGCACACTTGGCCCCATGATTTCGGATCTAAATCTCACCAAAAGAAGTGTTATGAAAAGGTGTAACAGCACTCTTATTGTGCTCATTTAACATATGAGGTAACTAAGGTGCAGACAGAAAAATGGATTGGCCAGGATATAGAGCTGGATTTCAAAAGTAAGGATTTTTATTCCAAATTCTTTGTTTTGATTTTGTCTTTGTTTTAACTACATCACACTAATAGGGGACAAAGGAAGGGAATAATCTGGAGAAGTAGAGAAGTTATTACTTTAAACGTGGTGCAGGCTAAAAATATAAGAAGTTGCAAGTCTTGTTTTTAATAAAAATGAGAGTATCATTTTAAGAAAGAAAAGCTCAAAGGCCATGAGGAGGAGAAATGAAAGAAGTTTATAGACATTCAAATGGCTGCGGTTCAGATGAGGTAGTAAACCCACAAGGCGGGCTGAATTCTGGTGTGTTTGTTCCTTCCTGGCCTTCATGTGACACAGCACACAATGAAGTTGGAAGGAAGGGGATGTAGGAGAGAATGATGCTTCCTTTGGGAGCTGGGCATTGTTGCTTTGCTGTGGTGAACAGGTAGTTTTGAAAATTACACACTATGGTGTCAGGTAATTTTCTTTTTTTGTAAATTGTGAGACCTGAGTTGAAATTGAGAAGGAAAAAAAAAGACATCTAAAATGATTAGAAAGGAGTTCTATGAGCTTGCCCGAGTATGGCCAGTGTGATTAGTTCTGGGGGTTACCTAAAGGAGGCAATGTCCATCCTGCTCTGGGCCTAATGTGAACTTGTCCAAGGACTTTTCTAGAGATAAGTTATGCCTGCATCTCCAGATATGGTTGCTCCCCACCCCCTCTCCCTTAGCATCTTCTAATGCCATTATTGTAGCACACATCACAATTTATTATAATTACTCCCATCTTTTCCCACCTGTTCTATGTGACTAGAAGATCCAGCACTGAGGCTCAGAAGACTCTGTGGATATAGTGGTGATGAAGACCAACACTGTGCCAGAGTGTTGATGCTTAGAAAAACAAATTGTGAAAAATGAATACCTACCATTATAGATGAAGTCACTGAAGCCCAAGAAAGAGAATTGATGGTCTGAAGGAAATTAGGGAAGAATACTTTTTATGTGCACTATTTCAGTATACAATCACAAATAATGTAGACCCTGCCCTCCTGGAGCTTGCCATCTAGTGGAGAAGACAAATATTGAATCAGTGATGCAGATCCCCAATAGAAAAAGTGCAAATATATATACATATTTTTATATATGTGTGTGTATATATATTGATATGTATATACATATATATGTAATAATTAAACAAAAATTAACTTTGCCCTAAACTAGGGGTTATTTAGAATTTTGTGATCCACTGATACCTTTGAAAATCTGATGAAAGTTATGAATTATCTGAAACAATGTACATATGTACCCAATATGTAAAATTTAGATATCGTTTGAGGAACCATTCATGTACCCCTAGATTTTGAATTCTTGTTCTGAGTCTTTCTTAGGTGACTTCACCTACTTCTATTTCTCCTTTCTTTTGGATCATTCCCAGTGTGTACTCTCCAGATCAGATATCTCCCCTGCAATCTAGAAGCCTGGACAGCTGTCTACGGAGCAGTTCCCTAATAGTTCCACCAGACTACACTGCTATCAGGAGGTAGCAAGAGCTGCACTTGGTAAACAATTACATGTGCTGTACTAGTCTGTTCTCACACTGCTAATAAAGACATACCAAAGATTGGGTAATTTATAAAGGAAAGAAGTGTAATTGACTCATAGGTCAGCATGGCTGGGGAGGCCTCAGGAAACCCACAATCAATGGCAGAAGGAGAAGCAAACACATCCTTCTTCACATGGCAGCAGGAAGGAG